GTAAGAAAAAAAAATTCCTATAGCTTGGCACTTAACTAACTCAGAAAAGTTTGGCCTTGATACTTACTGTTATAAATAAAAAACTGTACAGAGTTTGGGTAACAGATTGTCAGAGTGAGTGTATGGATCTAGATATCTGTCAAAACAGGGAAAGAAAGAAAAGCCAAAAAACTTATCATCTTGAAATCAATTGACTAATTTTATAAAGAATTTGTGGAGTTGGCAGATTACAATCACTACAATACTAAAATTTTAAAAAACCCCAACCCACCAGAAACCCAAACCAAACATACTGTTACCGAGTCATTTCCAAGCCATGGTAACCCTTTATCATGTTTCCGAGGCTGTCAATCTCAACAGGAGCAGAGGCCTCATCTTTTCCTTGTGGACCAGCTGGTGGGTTCAAATTACTAACCTACTAGTTAGCAGTCCAAACTTAATGTTAACTTCAACAAGGCTCCTTTTAGAATGGTAAAGAAGCAAAGAACTGGCATACAATATTAAGTAATTATTATCAAATAACAAAAGTATGATTATAACATTACAGATTCTTATGTCAACTCTTACATCTCCTATGGCTTCAATTTAAGCACTTTATAACAAAGATAAAAGACTATAACCTTCAATAAGGATCTCAACATCAAGAAGACAAAAATCATCACTACTGGACAAATAGGCAACATCACAAATAGATAGGGAAAAAGACTGAAGCCATCAACGATTTTATCTTGGATCTACAATCAACATTCTTGGTACCAGAAGTCAGGAGATCAGGAGACTCACAGCTTGGGCAAGCCTGCTGTCAGGGACCTCTCCAAATTACGGAGAAGCAATGATGTCAGTTTGAAGACTAAGGTGTGCCTTCTTCAGGCCATGGTCTTTACAATTGCTTGCTATAAATATGGAAAGTGGACAATGAATAAAGATGACAGAAGAACTGATGCTTTTAAGCTGTGGTGTTGGAGAAGAGGACCAAATATCCCATGGACTGCCAAAAAACCGAACAGGTATGTCTTAGAGAAAGTGCGGCAAGAGTGCTCCTTGGAGGTAAGGATGATAAAGCTTCGTCCCACATACTTTGGGCATTTTGCAGGAAAGGCTATTCCCTGGAGAGAGACATCATGCTTGGAAGATGGAGGGTCAGCAAAACAATGCAAGAAACTTGACGAGGCAGACTGACATTAACTGCAACAATGGGTTCAAGGATGTCAGAGCTGATAGGACAGGGTTCATAGGGTCACTATGAGTCATAATCAACAATACTTAATAACAACTTAATAATTTATGATAAACTGATAAATAATGATCCTAGTCTATCTGCTATTGCTACAATAGAATGTTTTGTTGTGTACCATAGAGTCGGAAATGATCCAGAGCTGACTGTCTAGCTGGATTTCAGAGGCAGTTAACTGCATGGGAGGAGAATGCCCATTGGTGGCCTTTGGGATTGCAGCAGTTTCTTGCCAGTAGGCCATCAGAGCTCCAAACAGAATGTATTTTATGGGATCTGTGGTAGCTCTCATGGTGTAGTCCACAGGGAGCCGTGTTGCTTATCCAAAGGTTATGCCTCTCTGGTCTAAATCTACCAGTGGCTCTGCAGAAGAAAGACAGGCAATCCCCTCCTGTGTGATTTACAACCTACAAAAATCCACTGGATGGTCAGCTATGAGCTGACTTAAACTTAACAGCAATGAGTTGAGGTGAATGGATAGCAGTTTTAAATAAACTTTTTTGATTAGTAATTAAACATAATAGTTTTTCAATTTTTTATAAATCTAATATTTTAATGTAGAAGTTGTGCTACAGACTAACTTCTAGAACAGATTATGTCTTCTTATGTTTATCTTTCCAGATATGTTGGCTACACCAAAATATTCAGAGAAAATGGATTTATAGTATGATTTCTAACAGTAATATGTACTATTATAGTATATATATGATAGACCTTTTCAATCTGTATATGGAATAGATCACTTGGGAGGCTGGACTCCATGAGGAGGAATGCGGCATCAGGACTGGAGGAAGACTCATCAACAACCTACGTAATGCAGATGACACAAACTTGGTTGCCACAAATGAGGACAAACTGAAGGGCTTGCTGCAGAGAATCAAGGACTATAGTCTTCAACATGGACTGAAGCTCAGTATCAAAAAGCCAAAGATTCTCACCACTGGACCAATTGGCCAGCACCGTGACAGATGGAGAAAAGATTGAGATTGTTAACAATTTAAGCTTGCTTGGTTCCACAATCAACACTCTTGGCACCAGCAGTCAGGAAATCAAAATATGAATTGCACTGGGAATATCTGCTGTCAGGAACTTCTCCAGAGTGCTGATGAGCAACAATGTCAGTCTAGAGACTAAAGTGTTTCTTATCCAGGCCATGGTCTTTGCAATTACTTGCTATGCATCAGAGAGCTGGACAATGACTAAAGATAACAGAAGAATTGATACCTATGAGTTGTGGTGCTGGAGAAGAGTATTAAACATACCATACACTCCCAAGAGATCAAACAGGTCTATAAAGAGGGTGAAACCATGCCGTTCTTTGGAGGCAAGGCTTTTGAAGCTTCATCTTACATACTTTGAGCATACTGTCCAGAGGGGACAGTCCTTGGAGAGGATATTATGCTTGGAAGAGTGAAGGACAGTACAGAGGAGGAAGACCCTGGATGAGATGGACTGACACAGTGACTGGGACAACAGAGGCAGGTGTGTCAGAGACAGTGAAACTGGCATAATTGTATTATGCACAGTGACTAACTGCTATTGGTCACAGGTAACTGACAGCACATAGCAACAGCAACGAGAAAGGGTATAATTAATGGAGAATGCAGTACTTGATATGGAAGCTGCTGAGCCCACATCTAAAAATGATGACATTTGTGTAGCAGACAGAAAGACCAGATATTAGAGGCTAATAGCTAAGAACACTCGTTAGCCTGCTGTTTACATATCTAGGAATTAGACTTAGCTTGCTCCTCTAGAGGAAGAAACTGGAAAAGTCAGAATATTGGAAGTTGTTTGCTGCTCTGGCCTTTTGAACTCAGGGTTCAATTTAGCCTTTTGCAAGCAAAAAATGAGAGATATGTTGGCTTTTAGAAAGGATTCTGAGATGAGACTGTGGTTCCAAGTTTTTTCCAGGCAATTCTCAGCAGTTCTGCATCAGACAGGTGATGCTGGGTCAGCAAAAAAGATTCGTTTATGGGTGTGGCCACCTTCTACCATTCAAGCCTCCAGAAGCTTTCGTACTTAAAAAATGTATTTAGGAAAAAACTTATTCACAGGTGACTCACAAAAGGAACTGGCTGAAAGCAAACAAAAACCCCCTTAAGACTTTTAGGAATATATTCTTCAGACTTTTAGGAAATTATTTTTCTAGAATAACAATTCTTGTATTGGTCAAGCAATTATGCTGGTTCTCTCTTAATGTGAACTCTGAGCCCAGAAATAAAGTCTAAACAACTATAGCTCCCTCATGGGCAACTGTTAAGTCTCTCCCTGTATAGAAGAAAAGTAATGATGCATGTTGCTGTTGTGTACCACTGCCTGCGACCCACAGTGACCTTATGTACATCAGCTCTGAATCCTGCCCTATTCTGAGACAATCTCTTTGGCTCTGATAGACCTAATCCCATTTCTTATTACTGAGTCAATTCACCTCCTTCTGGGTCTTCTCCTGTGCTGTCCCTCTACCCTTTCAAGCATATGTCCTTCTCCAAGGACTGGTTTCTTCTGGCCACTTGCCCAAAGTATATGAGATGAAGCCTCAAAATATTTGCCTCTAAGGAGCAGATTGGTTTTGATCTCTCCAGGACAGAACTGTTTATACTCCTGACAGTTCACATTATGTTCAACACTCTTCTCCAACACCAAAACTCAAAGGCATTGATCCTTTTTCTATTATTCTTAGTTACTATTCAGTTCTCTGATGCAAAGCAAGTAATAGAAACAATTAATTCAAAGTTACTCTCCTAAAGCAACCAAGTACTATTGTATGAAAAGCCGGTAATGTCTTTAATCTGCCATTTCTTAAGACAGAACATCTGAAGAATAGAAGCTCTGACTGTCCACTTTTTACAGGAAGAATGAATAAGCATGCCCCTTTTGGAAATTAGTATGAATATGCAGAACTACCCTTGTCTTGTTGCTGTTGTTAAGTGCCACTGAGTTGTAGACGACTTGTAGCAACCCTATGAACAAAAGATCCAAACACTTGTATCACTTTCATCATTTCTCTAAGTTCATAGAGTTTCCAGAGGCAAGCTATTTCAGAAGTGGACGCCACTCCTGCTTCCAAGCTTGTTTTAGCCGGGAAGCTCCACCAAACACTGTCCACCATGGGTAACCATTATCACATAAGACACATCAGTGTCACAGTGTTTAGCATCACAGCAACCATGAGTTATTTAAAAAGGCATTTGGCCGATAGTTTGGGGCTGCTTTCGAGTTCCCTTTATCTTACCCTCTTAAAAATTCTTCCTTCTTCTCCCCGCAGTGACAGTAGCTTGCAAGGTTCAGATCCCTTTTACTGTCTCCTTTCACTTGCTAAGATAAACTGAAGAGTCACCATGTGTATTTTTATAGGGATAGACTGAACTTACTGAGTCCACAGACATCCCTGGGGCTTCTGTCTGGTAGCTGTGTTGCTGTCAGGCGTCATGGATGTGGTTCTGATTCACAGAGAGACAATGCACAACAGATCAACACACTGCTCGATCCTGTGAGCCATCCACAGGCACACTCTCTGCTGTGCCTAAGCCCACTGTGCACTGTGTCGGAGTCTAGGGCATTCTGCCTGGCCAGGGAAATTGTTTTTGTCAATCCAGAGGTAGGTACAGGGAAGGCTTAAAATTTGCCCATCATCACTGATTCTTGGGCTAAATTTTACTGTCTAACTACGTAACTTCTTGCAAGGAGAGTGTGAATATATGTGAACATATATGAGGGCAACATTCAAGTCCTGATAACTCTGCTTTGGTTTGACATTTGTTTTTACCATGTACAGGTGATTCTTCATCAGCAAACAGGTATGGTTCTATTTCCTTCAAGGAATGTCTACCTTCAAGTCGGGCAAGAAGCTTGCAAAAGAGAAAAAAAAGAAAAGAAAAATTCATTACCTAACCACATCAAATTCTAAAAATATCTTTTTCAAATTTCCCAAGTCTATGGGGAGAAAATAAAAAAAAAAAACCAACCTATGATTTTAAAGTTTTGGAGGAAATGGAGAAACACTGCACTCATTTACTTAGAAAATACTTCACTTTCTATTTATGTGCCAAATACAAATATAAAATGAGTCCTAGCCTCATAGTCCAATTTAGGATGTAGGATCAAGCTGCTAACTAAATATTTATCATCATTATACAGGCATACCTCATCTTATTGTACTTTGTGGATACCGCATTTTCTGTTTGGTTTCCCTTGAAACTCAAATTGTTGTGTTACACCTTCATTGAGCAAACTGGCACCATTTTTCCAAACAGCAGGTACTCACTAGATATCTGTGTCACATTTTGGTAACTCTTGCAGTATTTCAAACATTTTTCTAATGTCGTTGCCCATTTAACAGATAACAATACAGTGTAAATGTAACAGGTGCATGTACTGCTTGTTGTTGTGTGCTGTTAAGGTGGAATCAACTCATAGCTGACCATTTCCAGAGGCAGTGAATCACACAGAAGGAGACAGGACACTGGAAACTCATGTGACTCGCTTTACTGCTACCTTCGCTTTGTTTTGGTCTGGACCACGACCTGCAATATCTCCAAGGTATGCCTGTACTTTAAAATTATCTTTCTCATTGTACTTAACACATTTGTAATTCAATTATCTGTTTGTACTGTCTCATTATAGTGCCAACTTCTCACCTAGTGAAGAGAGGAACAAAGAAAAAAGTCAAGGAAAACTGCAGAGCTACCACGGGAGTAGCCGAATTAAGTAGGAATTCCTTAGGTGAGCAGATGAGACAGCGTCAATTAAGGCTGAAATAGACTAGGACTGGTCATTTTTAATTGGACAAAAAAATGTCATACTATGTTGGCAATGACACAGTATAGAGGAAGAGTATCAGATTTCAAGATCTATCCTGAAGTACAGTGTTGTTGGCGATGGCACAGCAGATAACACACACAAGGAAGACCTGTTCATACAACTACTATTCAAGTTTACAAACCAACCACTAAAGTGATAAATGAAGAAACAGAGGGTTTCAACTAACTTATGCAGTCTGAAATAGACTGAACATGGGATCAGGATGCATGAATAATAAATGGTGACTGGAATAAAAAAATTAGAAACCAAGAAGTTCTGGTAGCTGGAAAATGGCCTTGGTGATAAAAGGGAGGCCAGAGATTTTGTAAGTAAGAACAATGACTTATTCATTGCAAATACAGCTTTTAAAAAACTTTTCTGTGACTTGAGTGAAAGTTTACAAATCAGACTGGTTTTTCATTCAATCATTCATACGCATCTTGCTTTCTAACATTCATGAAAATCGATGAATGTAATTAATAATATTAGATCAACTTTTTATATTACATCTCTCTTTACCCAATATATCTCTTTATTAATTCTTACTTCACTGTCTTCCTGTTTTGGGTAACTATCCAATAATGACTGTGTGTGTGAACTTTTTCTAGTTTTTATAACAGTGGTCTGGATGGCTGGCAGTCTCATCTTTATGGCAGTCACGTAAGCGGCGTTTCTGGGATCATGTCTGTTGGGGTTTTTTGGTGTTCTTTTTTTCCTCCCTCAAAAGTGGGTGGCCCCTGAGCCTTAAACTAAGGGTGGAAGTTTGCTAGAGGGTGTGGCTTTAAAATCTATAATGAGGTGATGGGTCTGTGGGCCTGCCTGGGGCCTGGGCCTTGGAGTCTCCCTCCACTCTAGGAGTTGGCTGGCTAGCTAGCATCTTGATGGTGGTCTCGCCTTGATGATTACCATGGTCACATAAGAAAAGTGTCTGGGGTTGTATTTTTTTGTGTTACTGTTCCTTTTCCTGCTCCAAAAAGCGGGTGGCCCTTGAGCCTTAGACTAAGGGTGGAGGCCTGCTAGAAAGTGTAGCTTTAAAACGTCTTCATTACAGAATGAATATTCTTTAAAAGAAGCAGCAATCATTTGCTGTCTGTTTGCTGTATGGGACAACCTGGAGTTAGTTTAGTTAGTTAGAATAGTGCAGAATACTATTCCGTAGTCATGTCAAATACCATAATGGTTACCTATCACGTACAATGTTTGGATGAGCATCTAGATTGATTCAAGGTGGGAAGCAGGAGTGGCAGACACTTCCCAAACTAGATGCCTCTGTAAAGTCTACAAACTCTCTTATAAATGTACAGAAATTAAGGTAATTATAGTACAGAGTTTAGGTCTTTCGTACAAAGCTTACTCTGAGTTGTACTCAACTCAACGACACTTAACCACTGCTAAATGAGACTAGTGTTGCTATATCTGGAGGAACATTCTTCCACTCTTTACATCACTCTTTGTCAATGTGTTGCATGAAGTAACCTGGCTTTACTATGATGAACCTTGTGCCATGGGGATATAAAATACCATAATGGTTTCCCATGATGGACAGTGTTTAGTGGAGCTCCTAGTTGTAAAACAGGTTTGGAAGCAGGAGTGGCTCCACTTCCTAAACCACATGCCTCTAGAAACTCTATGAACTTGGAGAAATAATGATAGCTATGGAAAGGCATTAGATCTTTTATTCATAGAATCACTATGAGTCGACCTCAACTTGATGGCAATCAACAACAAAACAACAATATCCAAGAATGACTATGTGCGTGGACTTTTTCTAGCTTTTTATAACAGTGATCTACGCCACAGTTGTCCTTTTGTGACTTATGCAGCATAATGTCCTATAGATTTATTCAGGTTGTATAATTCTTTACCACAAATTTGTGAAACACTTCAAGTGTGTTTTTTAAAAAATGTAAGTGGCAACTAAACATGTGGAATTCACCAAATAGAACACACAGGAATCAACAACACATATATGGAAAGACACAGTGGAGAAGTTCAATATCACCAGTCAGAACAAAGTCAAGGGCTGCCTGTGGAAGAAAGCACCAACTGCTCACATATAAGTTTACACTGAAATGGAAAAAAAAATGGAAACAAGTCCTTGAGAGCCAAAATACAACTTGAGTAAATTAATCTGAATTCAAAGACCATCCCAAAATAGATTTAACACATTGAATACTAATGATCAAAGATCAGATGAGTCATGGATATAATACATGATAAAATAGTTAGAAAAAGACATGAAAGGAACGAAAAAGCCAAAATGGTTATCAGAAGAGACTCTTCAACCTGCTTTAAATCAGAGAAGCTAAAGTGAAAGGAAGAAATGCTGAAGAGAAATTAACAGAAGATTTCAAAGGGCAGTGTAAGACAACATAACAAAATATTATAATAAAATGGGCAAAGACCTGGATTTAGAAAAACCAACAGAGAACAAATTCAGCATTTCTCAAGCTCAAGAACTAAAGAAAAGATTTGAGCCTCAACTTGCAAGACTGAAGGATTCTATGGACTAAATAGTGACACAGGAAGCATCAAACGGAGATGGACAACTACACAGAGTCACTATTAAAACAATTCATTGATACACAATCATTTTAGCTCATAATCAAGAACCATTGATACTGAAGGAAGTCTGAGATGTTTGGAAGGCAAAAAAAAGAAAGCGTCATGAATTCATGGATTACCAATCGAGGTGTTTTAAAAAAAACATGACTGTGTGGATCACAACAAACTGTGGCTAACTCTGAGAAGAATGGGAATCCCAGAACACTTGATTCTGTTTATGCAATACTCTTGGTACCAGCAGCCAGGAAATCAAGAGATGAACTGCACTGGGGAAGTTAGCTCTCAGGGACCTTGCTTGCTGAAACTGAGGAGGACCTGAATTACTTACTGCACAAAGTAAAGGATGCAGCCATCAATATGGATTGATGCTCAACATCAAGAAAACAAAGATCCTCACCGCTGGACTGACTGACAGTATTATGACAGATGGTGAAGAGATTGAGATTGTTAACAGCTTTAGTTTGCTTGAATCCACAATCAACACTCTTGGTACCAGCAGCCAGGAAATCAAAATAAAAACTGCACTGGGACAGTCTGCTGTCAGGGACAACTCCAGAGTACTGAGGAGCAATGATGTCAGTCTGGAGACTAAGGTGCACCTAAGTCTTCTAATTATGTGCTATGTATTAGAAAGCTGGAAATGAAGAGGGATGATAGAAGGAGAACTGATGCCTTTGAGCTGTGGTACTGGAGAAGAGTATTTATACTAGTTTATTTACAAAATTTGAGTACATTGTTTTCCAGAACACATTCTTTCAATTTCCCTCACCTCCCACCAGCCATCAAATTGTACAACTTCATGATTAATCACCCCTCCCCCCTGCACATCTCATCCCTCTGCTGCCTCCCTGCTCTCCCCTCTTGTATCCTTACACTCATTCTACAACAATGGTTTTATACAATATTTGTCCTTGTGGGACTGAGTAAGTTCACTCAGCATAATGCTGGAGAAGAGTTTTAAATATAGCATGGTCTGCTAGCAGAACAAACAGGTTTGTCCTAGAGAGGGTGAAACCAGGCTGCTCCTTGGAAGCAAGGATCCTGACGCTTCATCTAGCATACTTTGGGCATGTTGTAAGGAGGGACTGGTCCTTGGAGAAGAACGTCATGCTTGGGAGGTTGGAGGGACAGCACAAGAGAGGAAGATCCCCGATGAAATGGATTGACTCAGTGACTGGGTAATAGGGGTAGATGTGTCAGAGACAATAACATTGGCTCAGGATAGAGTACGGTTCCCAGCTGTAGTACACAGTGTTGCTGTGAGTTGCAGGCTAGTTGATGGCACCTAATAGCAACAACATGTAAAGCCATGACATGTTCATGTGTCTATGTCAAGAAATTTGCTGTCAAAACAGCAACTTCATCAACTGACTGAAAAAGATCCATATTTGTGTGCCCATTACAAAAAAAAAGGTGATTGAAAAACAGAAATTATTAAATTATATCTTTAATACTATGGCATGGGACAGGGCAAGGTTCTATCTGTTGTTCACAGGTTTGCTATGAGCTGTATTTGCCTTGCCAGCACATAATACAAAACCAAATATGCAAGTAAAATCTTGCTGAAGGTATTTAAAAAACAGCTGAACAGTAGAGAACTCCCGACCATTCAAGCTGGGCTTGGAAGAATCTGCTGATGTCAGATGAATCTTTGCAGAAAGCAGAGAATCTCAGAAAGATGTTTACTTGTGTTTATGAAGTATAAAAAGTCATTCGTAATAAACTGTGGACAAAATTGAGAACAGAAATTCTAGAATGCTTCACTGCGTGCACGTGAGACCTACAACTGGACAACAAGCCCATTTAAATAACAGAACAAGAGGATGCCACGCAGTTTACAATCAGGAGCAGTATGCTGCAGGGTTGCACTTCCACTAACTCAGTATAGAAAAGGTGAATTATAGTGCTTGCTTCTGCAGCACATATACTAAAACTGGAACGATACAGAGATTAGCATGACCCCTGTGCAAGGATGACATGCAAATTCATGAAATTTTCCATATTTTTTACTAATCATGTTATATGCCGCCAAGTTGTTTGCAACTCAGAGACCCTATGTACAACAGACCAAAACCTTGCTCTGTCCTGTGCCAATCTCACTGTCTCTGCTACACCCATCCTGATTACCCCAGTCACCAAATCAATCCACCTCACAGAGGGTTTTCTTCTCCTACGCTGTCCCTCCACCCTCCAAAGCATGACATCCTTCTCCAAGGATTGATCCCTCCTTGCAACATGTCCAAAGTATGTTAGACAAAGCCTCAGAATCCTTGCCTCCAAGGAACAGTCTGGTTTAACCCTCTCCAGGATGAATCTGTTCATTTTCTTAGCAGTTCATGGTATATTCAATACTTTTCTCCAGCACCACAGCTTAAAGGCATCTATTCTCTTTCTGTCCTCCCTAATCATTGTCCAGCTCTGTGATATATAGCAAGTGACTTCAAAGACCATATCCTATAACAGGAGCACCTTAGTCTCCAGAGTGACATCACTGCTCTTCAGTACCCTAGAGAAAGCTGGAGAACAACAACTTGGCCAACTGACTGGAAGAGATCTATATTTATTCCCATTCCAAAGAAAGGTGACCCACAGAGTATAGAAATTATGGAACAATATTATTGATATCACATGCAAGCAAGATTCTGCTGAACATTATTAAAAAATGACTGGAACAGCATATCAGCAGAGAACTGCCAGAAGGGCAAGCTGGGTTTAGAAGGGATTGTGGTCCTAGGGATAGTGTAGCTAATGTTAGATGGATTTTAGCTAAAAGCAGAGAATACCAGAAGAATGTCTATCTATGTTTCATTGATTATGCAAAGGCGTTTGACTGTGTGGATCATAACAAACTGTGGATGACCCTGAGAAGAATGGGAATCCCAGAACATTTAATTGTGCTAATGCAAAACCTATACTTGGACCA